AGTAAAAAAAATACATAATCCAATCTCCAAAGTTCAAACAACTTATCGACTTTTTGCAAAGCTTTGGTTTATTTCTTGACGATAAATAAACGAGTATCTAGAGTGTTTTAACTAGACATACTCGTAAATAAATTAATTGAATAAGCTAAAACTAAACATAATTTTGTTGCAACCACAGTTCTGAACCATTCCAAACTACACTAAGCCTGCGCAGTGTAAAAAAAAAATTGCATCAATTTTTCAACGTAAACAGTTTACTTATTATCTGCACAAAAAAGTCAAACATTTATTTTTTCAAAATGTTTTACTTTTGTTAACACCTACAAAACAAAAATTGTATAAGTAGAACCCCTCTATAGCGACAACTCAAGGGGCCAACGTAGGTGTTCGTTACAACCGATTTTGGCTATAAAGAGTCATAAATAATAAAAGTTTTTAAACATGTACTACGCAAATTATTTTATTAAATACGAATATTAAAAAAACACTTTCCTCCAGTGTATTTTTTTCTACGACCCAGCAAGAAAAACTTTAAAAATAACAATTTCTCTTGATATCCCAACTTCAAAATTAAATCTAGCAGCTGCATGTTTTCCCGTTTCTAGAGAAGAGGCAAAATATTTACTTCCCTGAAAGGTTATTTATATTTTTGTTTGTAATTTTGACAAATGAGAGAGGTAAATTCTTACCTCCCTGGGAGGTAATTGGCCACATTCCTTTCTGAAATTAGGATGGCAAAACTTAACTTTCTGTTAGGGACGTATTAAAAGACAATTTTATCAAACAAATGTCACATTTTAGATGTTAACCAACTTCAGAAGTTCACACAAATATAATAATTAGAACCTTTCCATGAAACTTCTTACGAGCCCAACTAATCAACTTCAGAAAGCCATCTCTCTAGCATGGTAATTATTTTTACTTTGTTGAAGAGGCTGGCACCACAATAAAATATTTGTCAATTAGTTTTTGGGGTGGTGTTTTGACATTTATATTTATTTTAGAAAGAACGTTGACAGCAGACAAATTACACAGAGAAACTTTTTTTGACAAAAAAGGATTACCTATTGTCGTATCAACAAGAAATTACTCCCTAAGATAGGGATATTCGTGAATAAGTTTCCAAAAATTTGGTTAGGTTGGTTTTTGGTGACAAACAAAAGATATCGTAACCAGTGTCAAAATTTAGGTTAAGTCACCTGTCAGCTCGTATGGATAATTCAATTGATAGTTGACAGCACGTTGATAGAAAACGTCAACCGTCAACTACAAGGGGTAACAAACCCTAAGCATTCAAAATTACTTCTGAAAATGCTAGTGTAAGGAACCCCGAAATTCAAAAATAAACTTCGGCGAACATAAAATGATTTATTTATTAATAAATACAAAAGACTGATTGCCCGGTTGAGAGCT